CGAACGAGTGAGGTGACGATGCTGAGCACCCTCACTAAGAGAGGGGGGGGGGTAAAAGGCGCAGTTATGACAACTAGAGACGGAGCCACGCCAGGTGATGAGTTCGTCACCACTGGGGGCTAGGGGCTCAACCCCGTCACAGAGGTGGAAGGAGAGCAGAGAGGCAGTCAGGAGAGTCCAAGAAGAAACATGGTCAGGGGCCAATGCAGTGGGGGCTACAGAGCCTGGTCTTCCAACACTAACTCTGGGACTTGGTCGCCCACCCCACAAGTCTGGGAAGTGAAAAAAAAAGAGTCAATCATCAGCATAATAATGAGCAGGTAAGAATTTCATTCACGATAAGCCCCCATACTCACCATAGAGCCACAGTTAGAAGATAGGACACCCAACAAGATGGAGGGGCCCCCCAGGGGTGCATCATGATTATACGCCCCACAATCACCACATTAAGAACCGTCAGTGTGCCGAGATCAGGGTTCAGCAACGAAGGCAAGGATTGGCAATAAAAGCATCCTCTCGCTCGCAATATCGAGTACCACAGTTCTACGAGTAAGAGAGTGTGCCTCCCCAAATATCCGGGCATCAAAACAGAAGATGTCCGAAAGAATAATCAAGAATGGCAAAAGGTCGGCAGGAAAGACAATGAGGAAGGAGAAGAGGAGCAGGAAAAATAAAACATAATGAAGAGGAAAAAGCCATCCAGCACAATTTGTGAAGACTGCAGCAGGAGCTGCAGTCAATCAGAGCTTCACAATTTGTGAAGACTGCAGCAGGAGCTGCAGTCAATCAGAGCTTCACAATTTGTGAAGACTGCAGCAGGAGCTGCAGTCAATCAGAGCTTCACAATTTGTGAAGACTGCGGCAAAAGGACAGAGGACCACCCCCATGGAGCACCACACCCCAGCAGTGGCCCACCAAGCCCCTTCACGATGACAACAGGCTGGTAAGGGAGGGGGAGAACCTTTGTGAAAACTATTGTGAAACTTCTCACTGGTTGTATTTTGTGAGCACTAAGTGTTTTAACTTCTTAAATTGATAATTACATGATTGATGTTATTTCTTTATTTGTTTGATAATTATATTTTATGATAATTAGTGAGTACAAACATGAAATACTTAATCATGTGACATACATAGAAACAGAATAGGAAATGATAGGCTTTTGTCAGGCCCACCAGAGCTCTGGCACTTATCAAATTGGCAATGCACTCCTGCTGGTGCCCACTGCTGTAACTACAAGGATTGCAAAGAACAGTGTGTTAGGTGTTGAAGTCCTTTGCTTGCTCATCCTTGACTCGCACATGAACTTAGTTTTCATAGTTTTACATTTTTTACCACTCAGCCCAAGATGTTCAAAGGTCTTCCAAATATCTCTTGTTTAGTCAACCAAATTTGACATGACATGTGGGATTAATAGCTGCCACCACGAATTTGGTTAACACTATCTACAATATCAGTACAGTATATTGGTGTCCATTAAGTGATGGGATTACTTAGGTACAAAAACAAAATTTAATATTGTAATATACATTACTGTACCTTTAGGGCTGATTTGCACAGGTTTAGACTTTAATGTTTTTTCTATGAATACTGTACAACCACTGCACAACTTTTGGGCCACCTGCATGGTCATGTAGTATTCACACTCCAGTTTTCTCTCAGCTACTGCATTTACTTTATTTCTAAATCCAAATAAAATGCTGTCCTATTTTACCAGTAGCCAAGCAGGCATCTTGTGGAATAAATTTCCACACTATATCTTCCTTGTAAAGCTTGTTTCTTCATTATTGAATGGACAACTTTGCCTCTGCTTGCTGTAACACTATACAAAAATTGCTTTCACAAAGCAAATTTTAAATTAAGATATCACTGCATGAAATTGAGAATTAAGAACATAGCCACTTTTTATGATCTGGAAACAATTGCAGACATTTTTTCTTTGTCGGATATGAATAATAAATCTGCAAAGCTGTTGGTAGGAACATAATAAACTCAAAATATAGATGTAGAACATAAAACTTATCAAAGTATACAATAATTTAACCACTAAGCTGCTAAGGGGTCCTGAAGAGATTTACACCCCTGTGAGCAAGAAACAAATTCTAAAAATTTTGTTCGTCTTCTAAAAATGTTAATTTGTGTTCCCTGAGCACGGGAAAAATAAAATAAAAAATCGTAGGTGACATTTTGCCCGCAATAGGCCAAGGAACTCTGGCAAAATGTGGGCGTTGACAGAGCAGTCGTCAGAGGCGGTCAACGTCACCCGAGCTGTCAGGTGGGAGTTGCCACCAAGATATTATTACCTAATTATTTTAATTATTTCAATGTCTCTGATTGATTTTTTCTTAAGTTTTTTTGCAGTTAATAATATTTAATAGTGTGTAGTGTTATAGATTTATATAATAAAAGAGGTGAATCATCACTATACTCAAAAGTATAGTGTGCATATTAGTGATTCAATTATGTTCATAAAACAATAAACAACAGTTTTGCTGTTACTATACTATATACACAGGTTATATATAAGTATCTGCACGTTTTGTTCACCATAACGAGCCACTAAGTTGGTATTGTGAGTCAAAAAGCAACGAGGAGTGACCACTACACACCAGCCAGCCAGCCACTCGCTGCCACTCCCGCCTTCCCTCAACACCACCTCACTCGCCCACATTCTCTTCCCACCATACTGTTTTTACTTTTATTTACTGTATACAGACGTTATATATAAGTACAGTATCTACATGTTTTGTTCACCACAACTGTACAACTAAGCTGATATAGTTAGTTCAGGCACTAAGAGACTTCGCTACACACACACAGTCAGCTGACGGCTGCCTCCCTCACTCGTTCAAGGTCAGACGCACTAAAATTCTCCCCCAACAATACTGTTTGGTGCTATTACACCAGCCTTGGTGTTATTACACCATATACACACATTATATATAAGTATCTACATGTTGTATGCACTGTAACTGTACACCTAAGCTAGAAGGGAGCCCAGAAAGCATAGTGGCCACCCTCTACACAGCTAGACAAGTCATGCAGACGACGCCACCTCTGTCACCCAAATGGCAACTCCCAACATAATCCTTTTGCTGTTATTACACTAATACACAAATTATATATAAGTATCTACAGTTATGTTCACTACAGAGAACCACTGAGCTGGTATGGTGAATTGCAGACAATAACAGGTGGCCACACAGTTAGTAAATGACGCTATCTTCCTCCCTCCCTCAGCATTACTCCTCCCACACAGCGCTAATTATCACAACAATCCTGCTATTATCACAATCCTGGTCATTTTTATCACAGTCAGGGGTAATCTGTAATACTGTCATTGCTAAATAATAGCAGTTACATATTTATTTTGACATTTTTAATCGATGCTGTGGTCACAAGCCGAACAGCAATGCTGTCAGCTCATGCTGCGTGCACCAGCCTTGGTTGCTCCCATAGTACTGTGGCTCTCACACCGGAGAATATTGCCCACAATTTTATTTAAACATGGCATCTGTTTACAAGAGCCCTGAGGAAGCTGATGTAAACCCCGTGAAGCCGCGGGCCATTTGAATTGTGCCCGGCACCCAATATCGTATATATATATGCCATGCGCACGTTGGGACATGTTACTCAGGGCGTATATATATGCCATGGGCAGTTTAAGGGTTAAACTGGAGCAAAGTTTTCAGACCACCAAGAAATCTGTAAAATATATGTTACTGAAGACATGAATGTCCTATGTACACTTGTCTCCCAAGGCCCGGTGGGGGGAAAATGTGGCACTACTGTACTACGGGGACGTGTGGCCCACACGGCATGTGGCACCCTGCAAACCCATAACGAATGATGTGAAAAGCAGTGTCAACATATCTAAAGCCAATAAAAGTAAACAGTTCACCATTTTCAAAATTAATTAACTTAAACATACATTAATTAAGCAAGCGTGATTGAGGGAATGTTTGTGAAGTGACAGACCACTAGCTAATATAAGATGTTATTGCAAATTTTGGCATGTCAGAAAATCCAAGCACCTTGGAAGGAGTCTAGACACAATGACACAGTTATTGTTTTATTGAACACACAGTTGTGATAAAAAAATTTCCTAACTTCAATGCTTCCACTACTATCTACGCAAACGATTCTATAAAAATCCCAGCACAGCAGATTATACCCCACATTGCTGTTTTGATGTTGCATTACTCAGGTAATACTCGGCAGTACTGTACATTAACACGTGCACTCTTAAGATATGTTTACCAAGTGATGCGCATGCTAGTATTCCTACATACAGTATTCAACATCAGCAAATTTGCAATATTAATATAGAATAAAATTATTTTGTACAAATAATTTGTTTTAATAGGGTGCAACTGTGATACAATTGTAATATTGAATGGGAGTTATGAGCTGTGATGCTAATTTTATAATCAAGCAAGTTAACATGAAGGAAATCTAGTAATGGATAAATTTGAGCCATGTAATTTGCTGCAAGTTTTTCTACAATGTAATTGAAGATATCATTATTTTTGTGTTTATTTACAAAGATGACATCTGTAAGGATGAGCTTGGCTCATCATGCAGTAGTCTGCCAAGACATCAGGAGAAGAAAAGTAGCAGTAAAATATATGCACTGTGTAAGAGAGAGCTGCCGAGGGGCTCCCGTTACGAGCATTTCGAGTAACGAGCAAGCCACTCGCAGAAAATTTGTCTCGACTGACGAACTTTTGCTCGAATAATGAGTGTTCCCGCTGGTTCTCAGACATCTCCGATGACAGTGTTGTTGTTGTTCCGCAAGATGAGTTTTTCACACAACAAGCTCGGTGACGGAACGGATTAAATTCGTTAATCGAGGCGCCACTGTACACTACATGCATACTTATCACTCGTACCACAACTACACTTTTCTTCATCAACTAGTTTATAGTTGCACATAATGATCCTTGACACATTTTCAGCCTCACTGAAACTCTTACTCAACAAAATAGGTGATTTCTTACCCTCAGTTCTCATCCGCTTCATCTCTGGAATAACTCCTTCTTCTCGTGATCTTTTGCAGCCTGCTATTGGAATGTGGTTTTGTGAAACCCCTGGGTTGAGGGTGATGTCTTCTCCCATATTACTATGCTTTCTGAATGTGAAATCATTTAAATCTTTGTGATTATTTTCACTTGTAATACTGGGGATTAATTCTGTACTCTGGCTATTGGTGACAGTGGCCATGTTTCCAACTGCATGTCCATTTGCAAATCCAAGAACTGTTCCAATTACATGTCCATTAGTAAACCCAAGTGTGATCCTATCTGCATGGCCATTCATTGGATGAGAATGTAAACCATTTACAGTGACATTAGTAACCGAAGATTCACTTTGCCTTGTGTGACTGGCAGCAGCTTCATTACAATTATCACTAACCATCGTGTCTGTTTCCATGTCACATTCATCAGACTGCATATTGTGTCCATTGGTAGCAGTATTTGTTTGGCCACTCACTTGCCCATTATCTTGGCAATTTGCAGGTTGAAATCCATAATAGCCATTAGATGATATGCATGTGCCATTGATGGTTTGACTATTAGTGGTAGGAGCCTTTCCATTTGTAGTGGCAGATGATGATAACAAATCAGTGGTAGTAGTCATGCCATTAGAAGATAGGAGGAGGCATTTATTCTTGGAGAGAGCAGATTCGGCACAGGTTGGGAAGACTCCTCCATTGAGGCCATGAGATGGTACACTACAAGTGATGGAGCCATTCACTTCTGCTGTCACACCTGATAAAACAAATGTAAATAAGCATTTTGTGCAATTTAAATGATAAAATAATTTTGTTAAAATCTGTGTAATTTTTGTATTAATGCCAAAGCAGCTTATTGGTCACTTCCTGTAGCACCAAAAAAACAGACAAACTGCTTTCACAGATAATGTACACTTATTTGAATTTATAAGGATGCCATTTGGCAAAAAAAAAAAAAACTGCCCCTCCCACTTTCCAGAGGGCTATTAAACCCTGACTGGCGCTAATTGTATATATATGATTTTGGTCTCACTACCTGCACAGTGCATATCGTATACTGTGTATATATATATACTTATTAAAGTACTGTACCATGTAAGATTAAAAGTTCTGTGGCTACACAGGGTTCACATCAGCTTCCTGAGGGTTCCAGTAAACAGATGCCATTTAAAAAAAAAACAGTGTTGAATGTAATGAAACGCCATTTTCTGGGCGAGTCTCGGAGGCTCTCCGGAGCTTACCAGGCTGATATGCTAATGTCAGACTTTGGCATCAGTCATGTGTACGGAGTTCTTATGGGCCTACTGGGGACCACGAGCCAGAACCTGGCCCCATCAGAGAGGCAAGGGGAGCAATGGTCTATAGAAACCCCCGTGTGATTGGAAGCATTCTATGTCTGCCATCGACCGGGTTAGGCACCCAGAAAGGTAGGCATCCCAAAACAAATCTCTATTCTGGTGAAAATTGCAACCAAAAGCCGAACGAGTGTATAGAACTCCCCAAACAAAAAGAGCAAACTAGTATGATGTCATTCGTCATTGCGCCGCTGTCTGCGCAGCCCCCCCCCTCTCCGGGAAGGGGAAGGGGGAGCCCCAGACCAATCGCGCTGGCGATCCACACCCCAGTTCTGAGGTTGCATGTCAAAAACACGCAAAAAAAAAAGACGCCGATCGGAGGGAGGGAGGGATGCTTGAGAGCCTCTGGGACTCACCCAGAAAATGGCGTTTCATTACATTCAATGCTGGTTTTCTGGGGGGAGCCCCTATGGCTCCCTGGAGCTAACTACCCACAGAGGAAAGAATAGGGACATACCCGGGAGGCGGTTGCTGCTCACTCCTCAACCCGAAGTCAAGACAACTGGCTGCATCCACCAACCCAAAGTGACACCGGCCCGACCGGGCCCAGGAACGTTTACAAGGTAACGAGCAGCCAGGACTCTGTTCAACCACCAAAATTCCTGCGCCCGAATGTCAGCCCAGTACATATTGCCAAAGATGGCGGCAAGAGCCGCTAACTTGCGGACGTCATGGGCACGGGGATAGACCGCAGGCCGGCTAGCATTAATAACCCTGCGGACGACCTGGGAGACCCGCACCCTCGTACAGGGAAGAGGGAAACCGGATCGACCCACAGCGCATCCACGGACACAGAAGCCGTGGCGCGCAAATAAAGGCGGAGAGCCACAACTGGACACAAAACATGATGCACCCCCAGCCGAACCAACCAAGCATCAACAACCCAAGGGCCCCTCTGGAACGCAGCAGTCTCATTCTTTGCCAGAAAAGAAGGAGAAGGCTGCAGACGAACAAAACAATCACCATGACCAAAGGAGCAGAAACCTCTGTGCCGCAGGAGAACATGAAGCTCACCCACCTGACTCCCAGAGGCCAATGCCAACAGAAAAAGAGCCTTTGAAAAACAATCGGAACCGAGGGGGCCACAACAAAACGAGGAGAAGAAAGAAAAGAGAGCACTCTGTCCAAAGACCAGGATGGCTCAGGCGGCGCATGAGCAGGCCGGAGGTGAAACAACGCCCGAGACAGCTTGCAAAACGGCGCAGACGTGACATCAATGCCGAAAGCAAGCTGAAGCGGCTCCGCCAGCGCCGCACTATACGAGGCGACAGTGTTAGGCATACGATGACGGTCCTGGAACAACCAAAGGAGAAAGGACAACACCACCCTAACCGAAAGGGAAGTATAACGATGAAGACATAAGAAGAACCGGAAGGACCACCAGGAAACTTCATACTGCCGCCAAGACGAAGCCTGCAGGTGGGACACTAATAAGGAAGCCACCTGATCACCATAGAGATGATGATAAACTCGAGTAAAAAATACCATACGCGAAGACTCGAGGAGAAGATTGAACCAGCCATGTGACGTACTGGGCCGATCCGTTGGAAGAGGCGGAGCCGCGGAAAAACCTCCGGGTTCGGATACCAAGCAAGCAGTGCCTGAAACCACAGCTGGGCTGGCCACCAAGGAGTCAAGAAGACAACTCTCCCCTGGTAAGAACTTGCAGAGAATCTCTCGCAAGACTCCGGGTCAAGGTGTCAGTGACCCAACAGGCAGCATGACGGAGGTAAAAATGGCGACTGTCACCCAGAGACAAGGGCACAGCAACCAACGATCCCGTACAAGACGGGTTGGAACCCGGAAGACACATTCAATGGTCCCCCGAGCCCAGACAGGGGTTTCCATGGCCCGTAGGGGTAACAACTACGGGAAGCCTGAGCAAGGTGTTGCTAACCGGATAAGAAACCCAAACATAACAAAAGGGTAGAGGATAGCACTGAAAACCCCTGCGACGTGTACAATCACGGGGGCCTAGCAGAGGGCCGCCAAACACTACCAGTGGAACTATAGCCACACTAGGCAAACCACCACCAGGCATGAAAATAAAAACAAAAGAAAAACCCCGCAAAAGTACACCGTCTCCAGAGGCAACAGGAACCGGCCACCGCTTAGGTGGCAGGCTGTGCAACATCTTGACGCCCTAACCAGCACAATACCAATCCCTTCCCAGTTCCAAACAAGGGCCCCAAGCCCCAGCTGGCCCCAAGGGCGAGGCAAATGCCGAGCAGCAAGAACCTCTACGGGAATGGTTCCCGAACGCCCCAGTGAAGATAACCCTGTTACGCAAGGGCAGTACTCACAGGGCGTTTAGGGAAGTCAGCCACTAAGCACATGCAGCCCTGGCACTGATGAGGTACTCCTGGCCACCGCATAACACAACACACGGCAGTGAACGCCACACAAGGCAAACACCGCCTAGGAAACTGAGGCCAGAGAAGCATCTATCCCGGTTGACATTAGCGAACGAACTGAAGCTTGGCAGCCAGCGCGGTAGGTCCGGGGCGGGGAGGGCTGCGCGGACGATCGGCGCAGCAGTAAAGTGTGATGTTTGCTTGTTTGCTTGTTTCCTTGTGATTGTAGGGAGTTTCTACCTCTCTGTTCGGTTTTTTGTTTTAGTTTTTTACCATGTGGGGTTTGTTCTGTTATGCCTACCTTTCTGGGCGCCTAACCCCGGTCGATGGCAGATAAGGAAAACCCCAACCACAAAGGGGTTTTCCAGGGCCCTTGCTTCCTGAAACCTCTCTGAAGGGGCCAGGTTCTGGCACTGGTCCCTGGTAGGTCTGAACTCCTTAGCTAATGTCCCGGTCTAATAGAACATACATTAGCCCGATAAGCTCCAGGGAGCCGTAGGGGCTCCCCACAGAAAGGGGACGAAACCCTAAGAGCCAAGGCCCAAGCGAATTCCACAGAGGAGGCAAGCACCGCCTGCCGACACGCGAGCCGGGAGGCATAAAACAGAGCCACCGCATCCCGCAAGATTGGCGCGAAAAGCTTCAGCATGGCAGCCGATGAGAGAGCCGCCGAGGCCAAGGTGCCAGAGCCCGGAACAGCCCCAAGCACCTCCACATCCTCCGCGAGCCAGTCAGAAGACAGCTCCAGGAAGGAAAAGAAGCGCAAGGCTGCAACCAAAAGGCCCCGAGCGCGCAAGTCCTCCGCCACCTGCGCTGCCGAAAGGAGAGGAACCTGCACATGGCGCTGAACGACACCAACATTCCGGGGAAGGGCAGGAGCAAACAAGCACTTATTGAGGTGCTCGAGGTGCCCCCCCCCCCCAGGAAAACCTGAAGCACCGTTGAAGCCTCCCGCCACTCAAGCGTGCGGGAATGGCAGAAGGAGTGCCGTGCCTCCGAACCAAAGACAGGACAGTCCGCTAGCCAGGATGACTCCGGAACCTTGTAACAAAGCCAGAAAGAGAACGAAGTCCCAAACCTGAAAGCCGAGGGATCCATTGCCGAGGCATAATCCAGGGCACGCAGGAGGTTCGCCGCACAGGCAGCCCACACCGCAGCAGGTTGGATGCGATAAGCCGAAAACCTCCGGAAAGATGGAATCGAAGCACCCGGGGCAACACGGAACTGAACCAGGGGAGGGGCAGACACCAAATCCAACTCGTACGCAGAGGGGGGAAAAGAAAACCCCACTCCTTGCAACAGTAAGTCCCGCTCAGAGGGTACAAAAACCCAGGTGGGGTCCAGCGGGGCCCAAGGCCCCCAAATCAGCCTCTCCCCAGCCCCAGAGTCCTCTCCAGCAGGACCCGGCATCCTCAAGCACCGACCCCACTAGACAAGGCCGGCGCAGCCGTAGAAGCCGGATAGAAAGAGGCCTACTGGTCAGACCCAGAGGCTTCAGCCGGGGGAGGAGACTCGAATGCCTCCATCGCCACACCAGAAGGGGTATCTCCCGAGGCTGCCCGAGTCGCAAGACCAACTAACCCCTGCCCCGACTCCAAAACCCTCAGACGTTTCTGGGCCGGAAGCAGGGGAGGGGGACCAGAACGCACAATGGGAGGGGATGGACCAGGAGGTGCGCACTGAACCAGGGTCGAAGCGACCCCCACCCCCAAGTCCGGGTCCCTATAAGCAAAACGGGGAAGCCGTGGGGCATCCGAGTGAACAACCAACCTGGCGCGTTGCAACAAACGAAACCTAGAATGCAACATTTGTGCAGCCTGTACCCGAAGATCATCATTCATAGACTGGGTAAATTGATTCACTAGCAAGCAACAGTATTCACAGGACTCGGGGTCGAAAGTGTCACCGACCTAACAGGCTGCATGACGGAGGCAAAAACAGTGAGGGTCGCCTTGAGACAAGGGGACCGAACAATCCTCAAACTCGCACGAAGCGAGGGGGGGGGAACCCGGGGTCACATCCATCGGACCCACGCGTCCCCTAGGGTATTCCCAGGATCCTGAGCGTTTACTTGAAGAGGACTCGCGCTCAGGTAAACCCAGGCAGGGACGTGTACACTCACAGGGACCCAGCAGGGGGCACCACCAAGTATCAGGGTGAGGCCAAACACCAGTGGCAATTAGGGCAGAACCCCCCCACCAAGGCAAAAAGAAAAAGAAAAACAAAACCCCGCAAGAGGACCACGTACCCCAAGGAACAGAGCCAGCCACCGTGATAGGTGACAACTAGCTGCACAGCACCCTGCGCCCCTACCAGTGCAAAAACTGCCTCTTACCCTAAGGTAAACTAGGGGAGACAAAACCCCAAGTACCCAAAGAGCGGCCGAGAAACCGAGCAGTAAAACGGACACACAGAGGCAGACCCCAAGGAATTTGTGGAAGCCCCAAGGCCAGTACTTACTGGGCACCTAGGGAAGGGAACCCTAGGTGCATGCAGCCCAAGTACTGAGGAATAATGCCTGGCTCTCGCACCCCTGGAGAACAGCAGCCACACACAAGGCACAGCGCTGCAAAAGTCCGGAGCCAGAGCACACAACCTAGCCGATAGCTTCAGCCTCAAGAACTGAAGTGTGGATCGCCGGCACGGTGGGTCTGGGGCGCCCCCTTTCCCCCTCCCGGAGAGGGGGGAAGGGGCGGCGCAGACAGCGGCGCGACGATGAATGACATCATACTAGTTTGCTCGTTTTTGTTTGGGGAGTCTATCCACTCGTTCATCTTTTGGTTGCAATTTTCACCAGAATAGAGGTTTGTTTTGGGATGCCTACCTTTCTGGGTGCCTAACCCGGTCGATGGCAGACATAGAATGCTTCCAATCACACGGGGGTTTCTATAGGCCATTGCTCCCCCTTGCCTCTCTGAGGGGGGCCAGGTTCTGGATCGCGGTCCCCAGTAGGCCCATAAGAACTCCGTACACATGACTGATGCCAAAGTCTGACATTAGCATATTAGCCTGGTAAGCTCCGGGGAGCCGTAGGGGCTCCCCCTCAGAAAAAGAACATAGCATTGAATGTAATGAAACGCCATTTTCTGAATGAGACCCGGAGGCTCCCCGGAGCTATCCAGGCTGATGTGGATATATTAGCTTTCTGCCATCAATGTGCATGGAGTTCTTGCCGACCGGGGACCACAAGCCAAAACCTGGCCCCCTCAGAGAGGCACGAGGAGTAATGGCCTATAGAAACCCCTATGTGGTTGGGAGCATTCTATATCTGCCATCGACCGGGTCTCGCGCCCAGAAAGGTAGGCTCCCCAAAATAAACCCCTATTCTGATGAAAATATTGCTACTGAAAGCCAAAGGAGTGGACAATACTCCCCAAACAAAAATTAGCAAACGAGCATGATGTCATTATATTGCCGCGCCAGTGTCTGCGCAACCAACCCCTACCCATGAGGGGAAAGAGGGAGCCCCAGACCCTCGTGCCAGCGATCCACCCTTCAGTTCTTAGGCTGGATGTCAAAACACACGAAAAACACCGCCGACCAGAGGGAGGGAGGGAAGGTGCCGGGGAGTCTCAGGGTCTCACCCAGAAAATGGCGTTTCATTACATTCAACGCTGGTTCTCTGGAGGGAGCCCCGTTGGCTCCCCGGAGCTACCTCACCACAGATAAGGAAAAAGAGGTTAGGACCAGGGAGGCGGACGCCATGCGCCCTAAACTCAAAATCATATCAACTGGCAAAACCGAAGGACCCCCTGTGGATGACCCGGGAGACCCAAACCCTGGAACAGGAAAAAAGGAAGGGAACCCCATGCAACCCAAAGCGCGTCCACGGATGCAGAGGCCATGATGCGCTGAAAACAGCGGAGAGCCGCAAATGAACATGATACACGATGCACCCTTGGCCTGACCAACCAAACACCAACAACCCAAGGACCCCTCCGGAAAGCAGCAGACTTATGCAATGCCAGAAAAGAAGGAGACGGCTCCAACCGAACATCCTACTACCAGGACCAAACGAGCAGAAAAAAAACCTGCGCTGGAGGCGAGCATGAAGCTCCCCGACCTGACCCCCAGAGCCCAATGCCAACAGGAAAAGAGCCGCAGAAAAACAATCCTGAACCGAAGGGGCCACAACAGAGGAGAAGAGAGAAAAGAGAGCACCTGGTCCAAAGACCAGGACGGCTCAGGCGGCGCATCTGCCCACATGGACCCAAAGGCAAAAATACCACTAAAACTGGGAACTGGAGCCAGAGCGATGAGGGCCACCAGGCACATGCAGTACATCGGTCTAGAACCGACTGGTGAAGGTCCCAGCTGACCTGGGCCACCTCCCTCCTCCTCCTCCTCCCCAACAAGAAGGGAGGTGGAGCAAACATAGCAGGGGGGTCTAGTTTCATGAAATTTTGGTTGTTTGTTTTCATTGATGGGTGTTCTTTTGACATTTTAAGGCTGCAGTCACATTTTTAACCATGCAGTGGTCCTTTTTGATTTGCCTATCTTTCTGGATACCTTCCTTAGGTGGTGACAAAGATGATACCCTTTAAATGTAAAGTGATCATAGACCATCTCTCTCTCTGCACCTCTCTGAGGGGATCAGGTTCTGGCTCATGGTCCCAAGTAGACAATTAGAACTTCATGTCTGATGGCACTAAGTAGTATGGTAGTGATCAGTGTATGATAGCTTTAGGGTGCCGACAGGGCTCCCCACAGAAAGAGATATTTGATCCGTGTTTAGTATGAGAGTTGGATTCACCAGTTTTTTTATTAACACTTTAGCATTCCAATGATGATAAAATGCATTATCTATCATGAAATTTCTGAAAATAACTAATTTTTTAGCACAGCATTGTCAAAATTTATTTGGGGACTATCCAGTAATCACCTCAGCCAACTACCTATCACTCAAGACAAAACTGCTCCACTTGTGAGTATTTTCACAATGCTTTGCAAGTTACCTGCTAGAAAAGTATGAAAGTTACACTTTTCTTTTTACAGCAATATAGATCAATCATGTGCACACATTTTCGTATTTTATATTTTTATTTATGTTTAAAACTAAATGAGGAGTATTGAAATATTCACAAACATTTATATATTTAGCACCATCGCACAATCATCAAACCGTTTTGTTTTGCAAATATATGCACCAACAGGGCAGAAAGTTAAAGTGTTATATTATCTTTATCCACATTCGTTCAGGAATATTTATGTACACAATTTGTTTTTAAAATGGTTATCTAAATCATTAGTGCATATAAAATATTCCTCCAAATAGTGATTTAGTTTATTAATATGGTTCTAACCTCACAAACATGAAACTAAACTGCTATTTACAACTGCTATTGTATTGAAACTGCTATTTACACAAAACTAAAGCTCAATGAAGGATTAATGAAAGTGTAAATAATAAAATATCAGCAATTGACACATACCATATAACAGTACATATACAAAAAATGTGACCACATTTTGGATCCTACCTTGTGTTTTTTCCAGCTGTAACAGATGATTGGCAAGGTCTGTATAGCTACATGCATTGGCGAGTTGAGCAGCTGTCTGACCATTGTTATTATGAAGCCTGAAAATATAGAAGCTGTAATTACTTAAATGCAATAAACAGCTGTATAGACATGCATGCCTTGTAAATATAGTCTGAATGGTGAGCTGTACAGTATACTGTACAATGTTTTGTTACCCACTAGAGATTTGTGAATGAATAGTATTACTGTAACTCATTTCTGGTCTCAAGCCACTACCTGACATGCTCTCTGTGAGAAGTCTACTACAGCTCCAAACCTGCCTCATTTATCCTCTGAAGTGTCTTCTTCCTTTCATTAATAAGTAAATTTTATCTTAACGTTCCAGATAAAATAAATTCCAGATGTGCCGTATATGTTCTCTGCATTCCCTCTATTTCAGCAATCTCTCACACTCTGAAGGGGAAAGTGAGTATTGAGCAGTACTCATGACGAGACAGCACAACTGATTTGAATAATACAACCATTGTAATGGGATCCATGGATTTGAAAGGTTCTCGTAATCCATCTTATCATTTTTCTGGCTGACACAACATTTGCTTCGTTATCCTCTCTAAACATTAGATTGTCAGAAATCATTATTCCCAGATCCTTTACATGTTGCTTTCCTACTATGGGCAGATTTGATTAAGTTTTGTACCCTGGATTATGTTTAAGGTCCTCATTTTTACCGTACCTGAGTACCTGGAATTTATCACTGCTAAACATGTTTTTTCTGTTGCCCAGTCAAAAACTTTATTAATATCTGTTTGTAGTTTTTCAATGTCTTCAGCAGAGGTAATTTTCATGCTGATTTTTGTGTCATCTGCAAAGGATGATACAAAACTGTGTATCATCAAAAAATTTTGTCTACATCTGATATGAGAATAAGGAAATAAATATGAGTTAATAAATCTTCTGTCTCATATCTTCACCAATCAGCACATTGATCATTATTATTGCAAGTATTACACAGCACACCAGGCAAAAAACAAACTCCAAAATAGCACCTGCTTATCAGTTTACAACCAAAATGTCAGATCACTTGGTAAACATTTTACCGATATAAATGCACTACATACTCTCAGCACTAGGTACTAATTTATCGTTCATTATTTTAACAGAAACTTGGCTAAGTAAAGATTATACCCAACTCTACAACTTAGCTGGATATAAAGCCATTCACAACTGTAGGCCTAATAAAAAAGGTGGCAGCACAGCTATATATTACCGAGATACATTTATCTGCAACAGTGTCATTAGTGAGAGAGATGACTACTGTGAATACACTTTTGCTCAGTTTACAATTAAATCCCTTAAATCCTCCTTGACAATTGGAGCCATCTATAGATTTCCCAATACTGACATAGCTTCATTCTCAGATAACCTAAGGAATCTTATTATAGCAACAATCTCAACAAAAACCACATCATTCTGGGAGGAGACTTCAATAGTGACCTGGGTCAACAAAATTGCTCTCAAGTTGACTATTTCCTTAACAGCATGAACTCCTGTATGCTAATCCCCACAATCACCAAACCCACCCGAGTCACTCAAACATCAGCCACTACCCTGGATCACTTATGGTCTAACATAACAGCTCCCCTTGTATCTGGTATAATCTACAACAGAAAAATTGACCACTATCCTACCTTTCTCATAGCAAACATGGACTTAACACCACCAGAAAGCAAGAAACTTACATTCAGGTTACTCAGTGAATCAGCTATAGGCAACCTTACAAATGCACTTCACAATATTAACTGGGAATCTGAATTCAATAATACTCAGGAGTCTAATAATTCAATAATACAAATTGTCTACTGTGAACGCCTCATAGTCGGGGAATGGAGCCACTTATATGGGAAGGCGCTGGGACCATGCAAATGCGAAGAGGTCCACCTCTGGGTGCCCAAAAGTCTGACAAAGCCAGCCAAAAGAAGGAGGCAGCATCTACTGTCAGCTGCGTGGAAAGAGGAATGAAGCGAGACAGGCCATCCGCCAGGACGTTGGACACCCACTGAATGTGAACGGCACAGAGAGCTAAACCCTGACAACTCAGCAGAAGAGCTACCTGAAGTGATCAGCCCCAAAGAGCCATAGACCATAGAGATATGGTTGAGGCAATGAACCACAGGGGAGCAGTCCAACTTGAACCGAATCACAGAGCCCCGAGGCAACCGAATCTACCACAGCGCTGCCATGCAGCCGAAAACTCCTGTACCGTGCTGTGAGCCCAATGGAAGGAAGGAGCCCAACACCCCTGGCCAGCTTGATGAGCACTGTTCACAAAACCCCAGCTGAGACAAGGCGTCCGTGAACACATCAAGCAAGGGAAGGGGAAGGGGCCATGGCACCAAACCCCAAAAAACCCAAAGAGGAAGCCGGAGATGCTGCCACTGATGCAAAAACTCAGGAGGCCAAACCCAGCGGCGAAAGGGACCTCCCCGAAGATATCAGAACATCCTCCAAAGCCAAACCTTGACTAGCAGGAAAACTAGCAAGGCAAAGTTCAGGCTTTCGCACAACTGCTCAAACAACTTTTGAGTAACCCAAGCCCCCTCATGAACAGCAGATGATGGGACTGCATCTGGAGCAAAGCCACAGGAGGGAGAGAAATGGACGCAGTCTGAGAATCTCACACAATGCCCAGCCAAGTCCGAAACCGGGACGGAACCAGATGAGACTTCCACCAATTCACTAAGAACCCGAACCTGGCAAGCTGGAATAGAAATACATCCCTGCCAAGCAGGCACACACAGACCGGCTGGGAGCCCATACCAACAAGTCGTCGTCGAGGTAGGCCAGAACCCAAACACCTAGCAGACCCCCCCTTCCCTCTCCCTGGGAGGGGCGAGTTGCGTAGACGGTGGCATGTTGGTAACGAGATGACGTCATGCTTGTTTGCTCGTTTTTTGTTCATGGGGAGTTCTATCCTTTTGTTCGGCTTTAATAGCAATTCTTAACCAGAATGGGGGGGATGTTTTGGGGCGCTTATCTTTCTGGGTGCCAGACCCGGTCAATGGCAGACATAGAGTACTGTACTTCTAAACTATATATAAGGTGTCTCAATAGGCCATTGCTCCTCACACCTCTCTGAGGGGGCCAGGCTCTGGCTCATCGGTCCCCAGTAGACCTAGAACTCCATGTACATTGACTGCTTCCCAAGGCTATTCTCTGTATCAGCCTGGACAGCTCCGGGGAGCCAAAGGGGGCTCCCCCAAGAAATATAACTAAAAAGTACCTAATATTTCATCTTCACAGTTGCCTACCTAGTGCTTTAAACTTGCACTGTATCTAGTGGTTTCCAATCCCCCAATGTATGTACCTAAGCCATACAACTTCACCATTGTAATCATTGCTATCATCTTGTATCATGGTTGTTACACTGAACACACATTTTACTGCATTATACTTTGAAATGATCCTCAAATTATGTTACAATGTACCTGTTGATAACCCTCAAATTTCACTTTAATGTACCTACTTGGTCAAATTTTCTTACACTGTACCTGTTAATATTTTTTAAATTTTGCTAAAAATTACCTACTTAAAATTATCTGTTAGAGTAAAGACCTACCCAAAATGCTATGCATATTAGTGGCTTTACAAGAATGTAAAAACATCAATGCTATGTACTCTTATTATATATGTGTAATATATGTGTGTGTCACGAAAACCTAACGTGATTAAGAATGTGACAATGTCAGACCACGGAGGAAAAATGAAACAGGAAATTTGGCCTTAAGTACTTTCGTATATTAAATACATCTTCAGAAGGTCCAAATACATCTTCCTTCTGAAGATGTATTTAATATACGAAAGTACTTAAGGAAATTTCCTGTTTCATTTTTCCTCCGTGGTCTGACATTGTCATATATATATATATATATATATATATATATATATATATATATATATATATATATATATATATATATATATATATATATATATATATATATATATATATATATATATATATATATATATATATATATATATATATATATATATATATATATATATATTTCATTGAATATGACCGCATATTCTGTATTTATTATAATTATACAAATAAGTGTAATACACTCTATAGTAAATCACTTTTCTTCACCTTAAAAGTACGAAAATGAGTTTTGGAGAACTCCTATTCCAATTAAGCCCTGATGCTAAGAAAATAGTTAGAGGGATAGAAGCCCTAAACCAGAAAATAATAAATACAGAATATGCGGTCATATATATGTTTGAAAGAAAACCTGCTGCCAGTATATATATATATTATATATATATTATATATATATATATATATATATATATTATATATATATTATATATATATATATATATATATTATATATATATATATATATATATATATATATATATATATATATATATATATATATATATATATATATATATATATATATTATATATATATATATAAATAAATAAATTAATTCCTGGCTCATGCTACATCTAAATGTACAGGAACAGCCACAAAGGCAAAATTTCACCATAGCAAAAAGAAAACACCGTAGACAGAGTGAGAGGAGACCTGTTGACATACTATCATCAAAAGAGAACTGAGAGTGGCTGACTGCAGGCTGGCTGGCTGCCTCCCTCCCCTGAAGCAAACAAGTTGGCAACTTGTTTGTTCTGGCTAGTTTCTTGAATTTTTTTATCATTTGTTTACCTAATGATAAATAAACTAATAGACATAAGGAGCCGGTCGGCCGAGCGGACAGCACGCTGGACTTGTGATCCTGTGGTCCTGGGTTCGATCCCAGGCGCCGGCGAGAAACACTGGGCAGAGTTTCTTTCACCCTATGCCCCTGTTACCTAGCAGTAAAATAGGTACCTGGGTGTTAGTCAGCTGTCATGGGCTGCTTCCTGGGGGTGGAGGCCTGGTCAAGGACCGGGCCGCGGGGACACTAAAAAGCCCCGAAATCATCTCAAGATAACCTCAAGATATAACCTAGTTTGGGGAGTTCTTTAGGCAGTTCTCGAGGCTGTGGTCTTGTTGAAAGCCAGCAGTGGTTTGCTTAGTTTTGCCGACTTTCTGTGTGCCTTTCTCGATGAGTGGTATACATTAATAACTTAATACATAACTGCCGCCACTTTCTGCACCTATGTGAGGAGGCCAGGTTCTAGTTCTGGTCCCAGGCAGGCCAATAGAAATTCCCAACTGATGGGACTTAGCAGTATGGCACACTATCAAGAGATAGTAGCTTCAGGGAGCCACAAGAGGCTTCCCTCAGTAAAATGAGGAGTAAATGGTGATTAATGTATAATAAATGGATAAAAGGGTTTAACAAAGGAATATAAACAAGGTTTTAAATATACAGTATATACACACAAAATAGAACTCAATAAACAATGGCTATAAATTTGAGACATTTAGATTCAGGAAAGAGCTTAGTAAATTCCGGCTTAGAAAGAGGATGTTTAATTATGGAACAAATTGCCTGATAAACTAATAGACATAAAACTTCTGGGTTGTTTTAAGTGGAGGTTAGATATTTATGAGAGCGAGTTTGAATGTATATACAGTAGGTAGGAGCTGCCTTATGGTCCTTCTGCACTTTCCCTTATTCCCATGTTCTTACATTCATATGTCTATACATGTACTGTAGTAATGAAGCTTCTGTAACTCACCCAATTTTGGCCTTGTTTGCAATCAGTAGATTAACACATTCTGTAGAGCCTGTGCGTGCTGCCTTGTGCAGCGAGGTTTCTCCCAAGTAATCCTGCAAATTGAGGGCCATGATATACTTTATGATATGCATGGAATCATTATAGGAAGAGGCCAAACCCCCAAACATACCAGCGATACAAAGATGCGAGAAACAAGTACACGACAGTAAGGAGAGAGGCAGAGAGGAACTTTGAGAATGGTATAGCAGACAAATGTAAATCAGAACCCAGGCCATTTCTATAAATTCATTAAAAGCAAGTTGCAGGTAAAGGATAATATTCAGAGGTTGAAAATGGGTGAAAGATTCACGGAAAAGGAATAGGAAATGTGTGAAACATTAAACAAAAAGTTCCAAAGTGTGTTTGTACAAAATGAGATCTTCAAGGAACCAGACACAATAAGAATTCCAGAGAACAACATAGAGCACATAGGTGTCTAGAGAAAAAGTGAAAAAAAAATGCTCTTGGAGCTAAGTAAGAACAAAGCAGTTGGCCCAAGATGGAGTTTCACCATGGGTTCTGAGAGAATGTGCACCTAAGCTCAGGATTCCACTTCAACTGATTTTTCAGACATCTTTGTGTACAGGAGTCATAGCAGATATGTGGTAAAAGGCTAACAGAGTTCCAATCTACAAAAGTGGCAACAGGGAAGACCCCCCTCAATTATAGACCTGTATCATTGACAAGTGTAATAGTCAAAATATTGGAAAAAATAATTAAAACTAAATGGGTAGAACACCTGAAGATAAACTATATAATATCAGACAGACAGTATGGTTTTCCATCTGGAAGATCCTGTGTAACGAATTTACTCAGTTTCTATGATTGAGCCATAGAGAGATTTTACACAGAGATTTTTACCAGGCTCTCACTCACAGCTCTGGTTGGAAGCAGGTCGATGAAGAACTCTGTAGGGTAAAGCAGGTCCTAGTCAACAATGGCTTCTCTAACGGTTATGTTGAAGACATAAAAAGAAAGGTGAAATGCCATGCAACCTCTGAAGAGTCAACTAACACAACACTCGTACACTCCTATTAGACTGTTTTACAATTTTTTTTTTCGACAGCTCATAAAATGGAAGAAAATGTCTTGAAAGATATTATTAATAGGAACGTTATCCCCACAGACAAAAATCACAAGATACAAATGACAATTTACTACAAAAACAAGAAAATGGCCAACCTACTCATGACAAACTCTCCAGACACAAAACAGAATGCCTTGAAAGAAACCAACATCATCTATGCCTTCACATGCCCACTTGGGGACTGTCAGCCCCAAAGATATCAGTATATAGGCAAGACAACAACGTCTCTTTCTAGGCAATTAACAATGCACAAACAGGGCTCCATCAAGGAACATATAATCTCCTCTCTCAACCTGACCATCACCAGAGAAATCTTCACAAGCAACACAGAAATCATTGATAGATACAGCGATAGCAGGAAACTCGACATCAGCGAGTCCCTACACATCAAAAAGTCAACACCAGCAATCAACAGCCAATTAACACATAACTATATTCTACCCACTTCAAGACCCCGAACCAACATAGAAGCAGCAAGAGCAATATGGAAGTAACAAATATGCAATATACCCATTGTTTCGTGTACACCTCACCTGAAGGGCAAGAGTTATGAGGAGAGGTTAGAGGCATTAAATATGCCAAAACTAGAAGACACAAGAAAAAGAGGTGATATGATCACTACGTACAAAATAGTAACAGGAATTGATAAAATCGATAGGAAAGATTTCCCGAGACCTGGAACTTCAAGAACAAGAGGTCATATATTTAAACTACCTAAACACAGATGCCGAAGAAATATAAGAAAATTCACTTTCGCAAACAGAGTGGTAGACAGTTGGAACAAGTTAGGTGAGAAGGTGGTGGAGGCCAAGACCATCAGTAGTGACAGAGTGTTGGGAAGACGGGACACCACGAGCGTAGCTCTCATCCTGTAACTACACTTAGGTAATTACACACACACACACACACACACACACACACCACGTTTGACTCGTGTAAAGGGTTCTCCGTCAACTTAAGGCTGTTTCTAATGAGGGAGTCGGTAGTCTTCTTTGTTTTATAATACAGTATAGCCTCGGTTTTCGAATGCCTGTTTTCAAATTTTTTGGTTCTCGAGCTTAATTTGTTAAGCACCGAGGTTTGCCTCGGTGCTCGAGTTTGTTGATACACGTATGGGCTGACCGAGCACATGGCGCACTTCAGTTATCAGGATCTCGCACCTAGTAAAGACCGCGCTTAAATTCTTTGTTAAGAATTTCGTTGTTTTTGTGTTTTTTTGGGTTTCTGAACATAAAAGGTCTTATTATATATCATGCCATGGGCTCCAAGAAAGTCAGTGGTAAAGTTCAACCTAAGAAAACAGTTGTGAGGATGACGATAGGAAAAAATCAAGAGATCATTCATAGTGAGAATGATGTCTCACTACAGACAAAAGTGTTAACAAGTAGGGAAAAACAAGTGACTATAGACAGAATCTTAGTATGACAAGCAAGCAGTGAGCCAGGACCAGGTCCTAGTGGTATGCCTGTAAAACGTGAGAGAGTACACCAGAAATGTCATCACTGCTGTTATAATGGAAAGGGAACTCCCCTTTCCAAATGCTAACACCTCTCCTCCTACCTCCTTCCTCACTATTTTCCATACACCAACAAGAGTCCTCAATAAAGGTAAGGTACTTATGAGTATTATTCTGTATAAAATGTATTTTTTAATTAATATTTTTTGGGGTGTGGAACGGATTAATTTAATTTACATTATTTCCTAGGGGAAAATTTGTTTCTGTTTTCGAATTGTCTCTGGGAACTGATTAAATTAAGAAACTAAGGTATCACTGTATATGATTAGGTCTATGGCTTTAACCAAAAACACAAACATGAAATTTGGGGGAAAACACGATATAGTATACAAAATTCTCAGGGGAGTTGACAGGGTAGATAAAGACATTATTTATCAAGGGTGATACTTGCACAAGGGAACACAGGTGAAAACTGCACACCCACATGGGCCACTGAGACATCAGAAACAATTTTTTTCAGTGTCAGTAGTTAATAAATGAATGCATTTGGAAGTGATGTGGTGATGGCAGACTCCAAACACACTTTTAAATGTAGATGTGATAAGAGCCCAATAGGCTCAGAGAACCTGTACACCAGTTGGGAGAGTTTAAAGATGGGTCCAAAGAGTCAAAGTTCAATCTCGCAATTACTGTACAATTAAACCATAATTAGGTGAGTACATGGCCAACATCTACCCCTCTACATCTGCTGTATGCATTGCTGACCACTAGTGTTGATGCCATCACACTATATTTTATTTTATTTGTTTATATATACAAGAATTCTTTCATTCTTGTGCAGCCACTAGCACGCATAGCATTTCAGGCAAGTCCTTAATCCTAATATTCCCCGGAATACGACCCGCTAAATTGTTTAACAACCAAGTACCCATTTTACTATTGGATAAACAGAGACTACAGTTAAGAATTGATGCCCAGTAAATCCTTCCTGATCAGGATACGAACCCAGGACAAAGCATTCGCAAAATGTCATGCGAGTGTCTTACCACTACACCACGGGGACTACACCATGGGACTATAATTCCCAGCATGTTTCATTAGCAGCAATAACACTGTAATCACACAATAATGAGCTGCTCCTACCTGAGCATTTGGATCAACTCCAGCCTGTAAGAGCCACTGCAGACAGTGAGGATGCCTGGCGAAGGCAGCAATGTGTGCCGGAGTCTGTGTGAAGCGTGAGGTAGTCATGGCAGGGATGGCAGTCGCTCCGGTACCCATACCACCTACTAATGCTCGCAGACACTCTATCTGTAAAATAATTTAACAATAGTTACATGAGGCAATATTTATTTATTTATTTATTTATTTATGTATGAACTGTATATGCAAGAAGGTACATTGTGTTAATGAGAGTACATAGCATTGATGTTTTTACATTCTTGTATAGCCACTAGCACACAGTGTTTCAGGTAGGTCCTTAATCTAACAGATAGTTTTAGCAAATTTGAAAAATGTTGACTGGTACATTGTAAGAAAATTTGAAGAAAATTAATAGGTACATTATAATAAAATTTGAGGATTATCAACAAGTACATTGTAGCATAATTTGAGGATTATTTCTAGATACACAGTAAAATTTGTAATGAAAATAATAACCATAATACAGAGTTACCTCGACTTACGACTGCCCCTACTTAAATATTTTGAGTTACGACAAATTTCTTCGTAAAATGCGACTCGATTTACAACCTTTGCCTTGACTAGCAACTTTGTTTATATGCGTATGGGTTAACCGACTGCGTGGTTCCTGGTGGCACAGCCGACCCTTAATAAGTTTACCAGAGCCACCCGCTTAGTGATAAGCATGCTTGTAAAGAATTTCATTATTTTTGTGCTTTTTTGTTTTTTGAACATAAAAGTAATTATTATATATCATGCCTTGGGTCCAAAGAAAGTCAGTGATTAGGTTCAGTCTAAGAAAACACATGTGAGGATGATCACAGAGGAAAAACTAGAGATCATTCGTAAACATGAAAATGGTATTAGGGTTGTTGATGTAGAGTAGATGATGTCCCATTCTCATTTACAGTATTAAGAAAATGTGTGCAATATGGGAAGAATTGCAAAGTTTTGCTGAAAAATTTCACCCAAATCAAGCTGTAGCAGACCGTTGTGTTAACCTTTTTAATGACAATGTGATGTCTCACTTCAGACAAGTGTTACAATGTAGGGAAAAACAAGTGTCGCTAGACAGGTTTTTAGTGAGAAAATCCAAGCAGTGAACCACAAGTAAGTCCTAGTGGTATGCAGGCAAAATGTAGGAGAGAGAGTACCCCAAAAAACAATCGACTTGAGAATGGTCCAGGACGGACTGAAACGTTATCGTCCCTTCACCTTCTAGTGTGTGGTCTGGTCAACATACTTTAGTCATGTTATTATGACTCATCGCCTGCACCCCAAAAAAGTCATCACTGCCTGATGTTATAATGGAAGGGGACTCCCCTTCCAAAAACTAACACCTCTCCTCCTCACCATCTTCCACATGCCAACAAGAGTCCTCATTCATGGTAAGATATACATACAGTACTGTATTGTAGCTAGCAAAATTTGTGTTATTCTGTATAAAATGTATTTTTAAGTTAATAATTTTGGGGGTGTGGAACTGATTAATTCAATTTTACATTATTTCTTATGGGAAAATTCGTTTCGATTTACGAATTTTCGACTTACGACCCGTCTCTGGGAACGGATTAAATTTATAAGTCGAGGCCCTACTGTATAAGATGATAGCAGTGATTACAATGGTGAGTTTGGATGGCTTAGGCACAAATATTGGGGGAGTGGGCAGCACAAGATACAGTGCAATACAGAACATTAGTAAGTGCAATAATGTTTAACACTAACAAGAATGAAACCATTAGAAAAATGCAGAAAATTCGAGCCCTCGACCAAGCTGCGCAACATACCTCTGGACCACGACATGATATTAGTTATACACTCTGGGATTCCACTGAATCCACAGGACATCTGGATTCTGTGGAACCTCTACTGAAGATGTCTAGGCTTTACATATACTGTATATCCCCCCCCCACCCCCATGCACGCTGGTATAGGTAATGGAGTTTGCATCATGCTCTAGCATCAATTTGCCTGAAGGCCACTAACACTAGTGGCCTCAACGAGGAAAGGAAGCCAGCGGGTTGTCAAAAGTCCCCATATTAGTAATAATATTTTCAAGCTGGATTTAAAGTTAAACATAGTTTTGGCCTTTACAGCTTCGGTGGGTAGGCTATTCCATGGGTTTGTAGCCCTACAGGTGAAAAAGCATCTCCTGTTTTCTGTCCTAAATAGTGGCTTGTTCAGCTTGGAACTCTTGCTCCTTGTTTGCATTACATCCAACTTTTTGAAGAAATTGTCCAGATCGACATCCTCCAAATTGTTCAATATTTTAAAGGTTTCGATGAGATCCCCTCTGTCATGCCTGGTTTGCAGTGTTGTTAGCCCAGTGGCTCTTAACCGTTCCTGATACATGAAATGACTAAGGTCCGGTGTGGCACCTTCTCCAGAGTCGCTGTGTCTTTCTGAAGATGAGATCTCCTTGCCTGGATGTAATAATCCAGGTGGGGGTGCACCAGAGACTTGTACAATTGAATGACTACTTTCTTTTCCTTGAAGGTAATGGTATGCTTGATTATTCCCAGAGTTTAGTTTGTTTCTTTTTTCTTTTCTTCCATTTGTTGTGCAACATTTAGTGAATGATGGATTCTGACTCCTAGTTTTTTTTATCTATCTATCTGTTATATGATAGTGCTGTCAGTTTGGTACTTGTGACGTGGATTGTTGTGCCCCACATGTAGTCTTGCATTTATCAATATTAGAAAGCATTTGCCAGTCATCTGACCATTTCTGGAGTTCATGTAAATCTCTTTGTAAGGTATGAAAATCATCAAAATTTGATGTCGTCGTTTGTAATATTCTCATCTATGTCATTGATGTACTGTATATGACAGAGTTGGTCCCAAAATGGACTCTTGTGGCACCCCACTTATCACATTTTCCCAGTCAGATTCATTCCCATTTATCACAACCCTTTGTTTTCTATGTTTTAACCATTGTTTTATTCATTCCAGTATTCCGCCATTTATTCCATGTGCCTGTAATTTCCTTGCCAGTCTCATGTGGTACCTTGTCAAAAGCTTTAGGAAAGTCCATGTAAGCTACATCTACCGGAAGTCCTTTGTCTGAATAACCGATTACCATTTCCAGAAATGTGAGCAGGTTAGTAAGGCATGATCTATTTTGAAGAAACCCACGTTGCATTGTTTTTACACGACTGTTCTGAGATGTTGTATGATTCCATCCCTTAGGATTCTCTCCACAAGCTTGCAGATGTGTGATGTCAAGCTGGTCAGACGCTAGTTTTCTGCCGAGCTCTTTTTGCCTTTTTGAAACCGGGGTAACATTTGCATATTTCCAATCCAGGGGAATTATCCCTTGTTATACCATAGACGGTATTTCACTAATGTTCCCAGCTTTGGTTTTTAGTGAGTGAATGATGGACATAACATCTGTCGGGCTGACTGGTAAAAGGAGAAGAGGTAGGATAGCTACCTGTATATGTAGTAACATATGTCTGGGTCTGTGGTTTTTTCTGGCAAGGTTAGCACTAACTGATGAAAAGAAGCTATTAAATTCAGTTGCCATTTCCAAATCTGTTGCAGATGTGTAACCATCCTTGGAGAGTTTTATCTGCTTGTTATGTGATTGCTGTTTAGATCATAGGATGTTAGAGATGGCTTTCTATGTGCTTTTCATGTTTCTTTTTGCTTTTTTGAATCTACTTTCATAACAGGAATGTTCTGTTCTTATTATACTGATTAGCATTGATGAGTATCTCATAGCTACTACTATTGTAACTACACCAATCCTAATTTTTTTCCATATTCATGTTCCTTGTTGATTACTTTGAGTATGCAGCGTGTAAGCCAGGAGGTCTTTATCTTTTGGTAGTTACTTGCTTGATGAGGAGAGGAGAAGAGAATGTTGTAGAGGCTTAGAGTTTTGGAAAGGAAGATGTTGACTAATGAATTTATATCCTGTGTATTATTGAATTAAGATTTCCAGTTTATATTGTGAAGTGCATTTGTGAGATTGTCTATTGCTGCTTCACTGTGTAGTCTGAAGGTAAGTTTCTTGGTGTCTGGTGGTATGTATGTCCGTGTTTATTATGAGGAAGGTAGGATAGTGGTCAGTTGTTCTGTTAGCGATTAAACCAGATACAAGGGGGAGCTGCTATGTTAGTCCATAAGTGATCCAAGGTAGCAGTGGTGGTTTCAGTGATTTGGGTGGGCTTGGTGATTGTGGGGATTAGCACACAGGAGTCCATGCTGTTTAAGAAATAATCGACATGAGGGCTATTTTGTTGACACAGGTCACTATTGAAGTCACCTCCTAGAATGATGTGATTTTTGTTGAGCTTGTTGTTTATGATAAGATTCCTTAGGTTATCTGTGAATGCAGGTGTATTAGTATTGGGAAATCTACATGTAGACAGCTCCAATAGTCAAGGAGGATTTAAGGGCTAAAAAATAGAATTGAGCAAAGGTATATTCACAGTAGTCATCTCTATCGTGAGGGAGCCGGTCAGCCGAGCGGATAGTACGCTGGACTTGTGATCCTGTGGTCCTGGGGTCGATCCCGGGCGCCGGCGAGAAACAATGGGCAGAGTTTCTTTCACCCTATGCCCCTGTTACCTAGCAGTAAAATAGATACCTGGGTGTTAGTCAGCTGTCACGGGCTGCTTCCTGGGGGTGGAGGCCTGGTCGAGGACCGGGCCGCGGGGACACTAAAGCCCCGAAATCATCTCAAGATAACCTCAAGATAGATCACTAATGACACTATTGCAAATTGTTCTACAGTTGTAAATGGCTTTACAACTGGCTAAGTTGTAAAGTTGGGTATGGTCTTTACTTAGCCATGTCACTTAAAATAACGAACGATAGTTTAGTACTTAGTTCAGATAGTTTAGGCATATTATATACTAGCTCTATCTAGAAATCCAACATTCTGTTTGCAACTCATTTTGAATGTACTGCATGTACTTTTACCTGAATAAACATAATAATAATAATAATAATAATAATAATAATAATAATAATAATAATAATTATTATTATTATTATTATATTGATTGTCACACTAGTTCTCCACATATGTCAGTTGCTTAACTTAGAAACTGTACTTGTGGTTGGTCTTGAGCTCATTGTTGATATGACTATGGCCATTGAATTTTGTGCGGGCTAGGGTGA